GGATATTATTACAAGATAAATCATATGCTTCATTGAACACATACAACAATGCATATTTCCACTGAGATCAGTGACCTTTGATGTGTATCACCAGTGATCAGTGATCAGTCAAGTAGAAACAGTCAAAATATTTTATCAGATTTTCTCAATTTTTGCATGATATTTTCATACAGAACATCTGTTGTTCAAACTCAGGGAAGACTTTATACTGATGAATAAGGTGACCAAGTTTGATAAAGTTTGGAATAGAATTAGTAAAGTTATTATGCACACAATAACAATTATTAACGACGACGACAACGACAACGACAACAATAACAACAACAACAACAAGTCATTGTCAATGACACGTCCCCGTTCCGTTCATATTTGAGTGACATATACATTCAAAGCAGATCATGACCGAAATGCACCTGCATATGTACAACACATTGTTCTAAATCTGAACAAAATCCATCCATGCATGACTGAGATCAGGTTCCGGAATTGTGAAAATACGTGATTTTGATGCATTTTCAGCCTTAAAATGGCCATCATTCAGCTATTGTTAAGCGGATCATGAAACAAATGCACATATCTATTTGTCACATGATGTACCATGTGTGTGTGAAGTTTGAACTTGATCAATCCAGACATGTCTCGGATACGAATCCAGAACTGAATTCTTTAAAACAAAATGGCCGCCAGTCGGCCATTTCAAACTTGATCCGAAAAAAAAAATAACGTGCATCAAGGTCCTATTATGTTTAATGTATGTACCAAATTTGACTGAAATCCGTCCATGCATAACTGAGATCCGGGTCCGGAATGGTGAAAATGTGCGATTTCAATGCATTTTCGGCCTTAAAGAGGCCGCCATTTGGCTATCGTTAATGAAATCATGAAACAAATGCACATACATATTTGTGACATGATGTACCTTGTGTGTGTGAAGTTTGAACTTGATCAATCCAGACATGTCTCGGATACGGATCCAGAACTGAATTCTTTAAAACAAAATGGCCGCCAGTCGGCCATTTCAAACTTGATCCGAAAAAAAAAATAACGTGCATCAAGGTCCTATTATGTTTAATGTATGTACCAAATTTGACTGAAATCCGTCCATGCATAACTGAGATCCGGGTCCGGAATGGTGAAAATGTGCGATTTCAATGCATTTTCGGCCTTAAAG